TAGAGCCATGCGTTGTAGTGCTTCAATACATTTCATTGGCTCCTAGTGTCACCATCACAACTATGGTCTTGTAACACTAATGTTATGTTAGCGTTTTTTTGTTACGCTCCTGAGTGATGATGACACAGGGAGGTGTTTCGCAAGACTGTTTTGCTTTATCATGGGGACTTTAATATGAAAGGCTGTGACTCATGCTGTCCTGTGCACGCTGTCCTGTGAAGCTAGGAGCCTAACCCAGTTAACAGCACAGCCGGAGAGGGGAGGTTGAGTTAGAGTCTGAAGGAGAATTACAATTTTCTTTGGTTAACAAAATAACTTCACCACATATAAAGCACCACCAGCACCACCAACAAAAAAAGTAGAACTTCTGAAGTGTGGTTCTCCTGCACCTCTTCCTCCTAGCTCTCCCTCCTTAAATGTCTTTCCTGCAAGGACCCTGTAGTGCTTGAGGACAACTTTAGATTCACAGTTCACATGAAAGGTTGGTTTCTGTGGAAGGAGGGGCACACAGGATGATCTGAAAACAGGATGTGTTTTGGACACATCCCTCTGTTTGGTTCTCTATTTTGGTTTTACTGGGAGATTCATTTCCTTTTCATAGCTGTTTGTAGTTCAGAGTGACCTGCTAAATGACTCAGTTATAACACATTACCTTCAGTCTTATGATAAAAAGCTTTATATATATATATATATGTATATTTATATATATATAAAAGTACTATTAAAGTATACTATTTGGAAAACAGAAACACAGCACTAAGTTTAGGTTGCAAGTTAACTGTTAACCAGGAGAGTAATGCAGTCCATCTCTGCTGGGTTTGTACCACAATGGCATGGCCTACAAAGAGAGAGAGAGATTCAGGTCCAAGGGAATGACTCTGATGACGTGCCTTGTGGTTTTCTTCTGCTGGGCTGTGCCTGGAGGCCCTCCTTGTGTCAGGGAGGTAGCACTGGAGCACCTGTTCGCACCCATGCCACCCTGTTCTGTTCTATTTGTGGCCTTCTGCAGCTGCATCTTGGGGTTCGTTGCAATTTGCCCTCTGATGCTGCAAAAATACAAGCTTTTTTGTGTTTTTACTACAAAACATTTTTTAAACTGACTGTGGTCACCGAGGAAGTGAATATTGATGGATTTGTGAAAAAAAAAAATCATTTGAATAATGCTTCTAGTGGTTTGTCTAGTGTACTAAAATGTGGATTGCTCTCTCTGTAGTAGTATCCTTAAGACCATTTAGATTTCCACACACTAATCAGGTCTAAGTTGCACCCAAAACAAGGTTCACTTCAAGTGGTATGTTTGATCTGGAACACAGACTGCCTGCAGTTTTGCCTGTACTGCAGAATTAAGTATAATAACTTTTAATTAGTTATAAATTAATGTTATAATCCATGGTGTACATAGTCGATTTAAATATGCTTATGCTGTGGTAGTTTAGTTTAACACTGGAATTTGAAGAAGGTCCACGTTTAGCATTATCTTAATGGCAAACATTAAAATTGATGGAACTTACAGATAAGAGTCTTACAGAGCATACTCTAGGTAATGACTTGATTTAACCTCTGCTATATACAGTTCTGCAACATATAAATGTGGAAAAGTCAAACATTTAGATCACTAGTGTAAAGTACTGTTCTTTCTGAAGACCCCCAAAATTAAACCAACCTTGTTAAAACCACATCTTAAAAGTGGAACATAACAACATGTCAAATGCACTAAGCAAAGTGTAGGATGAGCACAGAAGTATCTACCTGCAGAGAGAGACATATTTACTGTAACTGGGGAATAAGTGACATTTTTGTAAAGGAATGTCATGTGATAGTCATTGAATGGTAATAAATTGCAGGGACATCTGCCAAAACCACGGTTGTTAAAAGTATATTTCAAAAATATTATCATATTAACTATCAGAGTCCCATAGCTAAGGAGCAAAGTTCATGTTAATGATTTGTAGTTACGTGGCATTCTGGGAAGGACTGCCTCATAAGCTTATCTTTTGTAGAACTTGAACCTGTAGATTCTAATTAGTGCCAGGATCTTAGTTCTACCGATGTTTCAAACTTTTGTTTTTTGAAACCTTGTACTTACACAATTAAGATCTAGAATTTCTTATAATTTTATATGCATTGAATAGAAAAGATTGAATAGATGAAAATTTTCACAAAGTTCTCTTTGTACGTAGCTGGTCTCACCTTTAAGCAGAGAGGAAAAATGATTTTTGAAAGTTAGTGTATCATTTGAGACAGTAAAATGAGAGTAGGAATGAAGGAGCAAGTTTATAATCTGGCACTCTCCTAAAATGTGTGTGTTGGTTAAATAGATACAAGTATTTTCTGTTTTGCTTTTTGTTTGTTGGCTTTTTTTTTTTTTTTTTTAAGGTGTAGGTAAAGATTGTATTTATTGCATATGAATAGCAGGAGTAAATATATTTTGCTATTCATTTTGATGCCTTTCTTAAACTGAGTGCTTTACTAGATGCACTTTACATACACGTTAGTGACTAATGGAATTCTGCCATTCCTTGGTTGGGACTTGGTGTGTGTTTTCTGGATGAGCATGGCTGTTACTTAGTGCTTGTAAAAGTTTTTAAAATCTTGCTTTTTTGAAATCTGGAAATCAACATTATCATCGACATCTAGTCAACATTGTTATGGTGTTTTCCACTTTTTCGTAGTGCCAAAAGCTAAAGTATAATGTCAACCTTTTTCTACTTACTACATGCTCAGTGTTCCCCGTAGTGGTTGTTCCATGTCATAAAAAAAAAAAAAAAAAAAAAGTTTAATTGTAGCTGATCTATTTGACTTCAATACAGCATAATACAAATGTTGTCTTTTCTAGTTTAGTGCTCTAACAAAGATTAGATTTCAAAGTATTTTCATGGACAGGTATCATAATGTATTGGTTATTGAGCCTAAAAGCTTAGATACATGTACTGGAAGGTGTACAATTGTACAGTTAAATTTTTTTGTGCATCTTATCAAATAAAAAAAAAACTTTCAGATTTTATATCTCATTTTTTAATGCAATTTTAAAGTTCATGGTTAAATAAACATCTGTCCCTTGAATCTGGCAAACTGGCACTTTTCCAAATCACAACAGAACACAATATTGCAAAGCACCAGTGTAATTAAAGAGGGAAATAATTTGCATTATTTTTCTATAAAACTACTCTTGAGTAACAGATGGCGATCACAAACATATTGCTTCAGAGACATATGGAAACCTATTTGTTCCACAAAACTCAGGAGTGAATATTAACCCCAAAATTACTCTCTTCATTGCTGAAATACGATGTAGTAATCTCCAGTATGGCCCTAATTACAGTACTCATGAGCAATTCGTGTCTCTGAAAATACAGATATATGGAAATGTGTCAGAGATTAGGTTTTCATTTGCAGTTTCCTATAATTCGATTATTCATGCTAGTCTGAAACAATTGATAAATTTGATTTGACTGCCTCTGTGCCAGGTTGTCATTATCATTTATAAACAAATCTTGGATTAAGTATAGTAACAGCCTACCGTAACATGTAAACAGCCCAACTCCAAATCATGCAGTAAAAAAAAGTTCTCATATTGCTGCCTTGGTTCTGCCCTATCAGATGATATCTGTGTCTCCCAGTGGTCTTAATCAAGGAGTGACATTTTTACTTGAATTGCAACATGGAATCTCTGTTATAAAGTTAGATTTCAATACAGTTAACTGGAAGTTAAAGTTAGCAGTTATGCCAAGCTGTAATTGAATTCACCTTGTACTGAGTTTTACATCAGATCTGTCATGGGATTATTATTTTTTAAGGTTTGTTATCACAAACATATGGGCCAGGAACATCACCAAACTGAGACACTTAATAAGGAAGATTTGGAATGGTTCATAATTAGGAATTTATCAGCTTTTGCTTTTCCAAGTTTTATTATGACTGACGTAATTTATTTGGAGTGACTCTTCAGCACACTTTGTGTAAGTACAGCAGTGGCCAGCTGTTAAGATAGCCCGCCCTACTTTACCCCAACAAAATCTAGGTTGGGTGCTTGGAATATGGAGGCTACCTGAGTGTGTATGAGAGAATTTTAATATTTAAAGCTAATTCTGCTTGCTTCTAGACTCAGCATATACGTTTGCCATATTCATGAAAAAGGCAGAGATGTTTTACACCTCACTCCAGCCTGGCTCCCCAGCCCCTGCCGAGCCGCCTGCATGGGGGAGACCGAGCCTCCTGGAAGCTTGGCTAGAGCGCTGGCACGTCGGGCCTCCACGGTGCCAGTCCCGCAGGGGATGGTGTGAGGCAAACTGCCCTTCTGCCTTGGTGCCCCTGGTAGGGATGTGAGAGCTGTTAGGGGATTTATAGCGTTAGGCGTTTGTGTTTAGAGCTTGTCTGGAGGCTGCGGTTTTTGAATTAAATTAAAGCAATAGCTCTTTGCTGCTATTTTAAAGCATTTCAATGATGTTATTTATTTTTATAGTGCCTTGTGACACCCTGTGAGAAACACATTGTAATAAATACATAATGAGGCTGCCTCACACCGAGAGAATTGTCAGTGGAAAAAAAAATGGAGAAAAGCGCTTATTCAAATGCTGTAGTCACATCTAGAAAGGGTACCACGCTTCTAGTGCTACACGAGGCTTTGTGAAAATACTTTTCCTTTTATCTGAACGAGCTTCTTCCTCACTTGCTAAAGCAGAGGACGTAAATACACCTCAATAGTCGAGGCCACATGCGCTCAGCCTTTCACCTGGCCCGATGGCATCTGAGCGAAGCGCAGCGTTCCGCCAGGACCCGCTGTGCCACTTGCCCAGACGCGCTGGCCCCATTTACAGCTCGAGATGGTTTTGCAGAGAGCTCAGCGCCCTGCGGGATGAGCCCACCCGGCCGCTCGGCGCTCCCCCGCCACAGCGCCTCAGCGGCGCCCCGCGCCCGGACTCCAACTCCCGCCGGCCCCCGCGGCGCTGCCCGCCCTGCACGGGCGGCCGGGCGGGGCGGGGTGGGGCGGGGCCACGCTGCGCTGCCCGCCCCTCCCGAGGCTGCCCCGGCCGAGCCGCGCCGAGCCCAGCCCAGCCCAGCCCAGCCCAGCCGAGGGGAGCGGAGCGGAGCGAAGCGGCGCCGCGGGAAGATGGCGAAGACGTACGACTATCTGTTCAAGCTGCTGCTCATCGGCGACTCGGGCGTGGGCAAGACGTGCCTGCTCTTCCGCTTCTCCGAGGACGCCTTCAACACCACCTTCATCTCCACCATCGGTGAGGGGCCCCCGCCCGGCGGCGGTGGGATGGGGATGGGGATGGGGTTGGGGGCGGCGGGGCCGGGGCCGGGGCGGCCGCTGCGGGGAGCCGGGGCCGTGGCCGTTCCGTCGCGGTCCCGCCGCCCTCCTCGCAGGGCCTGCGCCGGCCGCTCGGCGCTTCCGTGAGGGCGGCCAGAAAATGGCAGCAGCCGGGCCGCGGGTGAGGAACTGTTGCTGCGGGGCCGAGCCGCGGGCGGGCTGAGCGGGCACGGGGCGGGGGGGGGGGGGACACGGCCGGGGCCGCGCCGGCCCCGCTCAGCGCCGCGGGGGTGCCGCCGGCCCGCAGCCTCCTCGGCCGCTGCGTGGGGGGCACCTCCTCGCCAAAAATGGAGTCGGGTTTCGCGTTCGGTGGGGAAAAGCGGTCAGAAGCTGTCTGAGCTCTTTCGGCGACACCGAGCGCTTCTGAAACGGGCCGCCGCGGCGTGCTGCTGCGGGGCTCGGCGCTCTTCCTGCTGCTCCACGGAGGCGCGATTTAAAAAGGGTTTTCGGAGCCAGTCCTCAATTGAAATTGCAGTTCGGGGAAACTTGAGGTGTCCGGGTAACCAAATGTAGTTCAGTTTGCTCTTTAAAACAAAGTGTGGTGTTTTGGGGATGAAGCAGTAAAACGCAGGGGAGGTTGCTGGTATTTAAGAGAGCAAAAGTCAGGCTGGCTTGGAAGAATAGCACTAAGAGAAGGAGTAGACTTTGTCATAAGGAAATTGATTTAAAGATGAGATAGAGCAACGTGTCACTTGGTTCATGTTCCGAGTGCTGCTGTATCCTCGCTAGACGTTTGACTGCGCTGAGCACCTGATGCGTGGGGAAGAAGTGAACTTTCATTCAGGCAGATGTGACTGGCTACGTGAGATATGGCTGGCATTTCTAGTGCTTCAAGAACAGAATTTCTACATTTCCAAAACAAACAAAAATAAATAACTTTTCTCTCTGCCTTCTCTTTGCAACCATCTTCAAAGTGCTGTATTAATAACTCCAGCTAATCAGGGCCTGAGTAGCAGTTTACTGAAAAAAAGGTACTTTGCTCTATGTGTGGTCGCTTAAAAGGCTTAAACCATAATAAATGCAACATAGTTTTCAAAAAAAGCCTACAGTGGTTCTGTACAAAGTATAAAATGACTCTTACTTAGAAAGAGATGGCTAGCATAAATGGCTGCCTCTTGTTTTCAGTGATCTTGTCATTACTTGAACTGCTTAGACTCTTGATGTTTCTTTTTCTGTCTCACTTGATTCACTTTGAAGTGTCAAGGACTGCAAATATGATTCTGTTTTTTTTTTTTTTTTAACTTATTCAGTAATATAGGGTTTGTTCTCTTGTTTCCGTCCTTTATGTTTGCTTTTATGAGGGTCCTATTATCAACACTGTTCATTTTAAGAAAGATGTTGATAATTGAGGTGTACTTATGATTCCGTAGGTAGTGATTGTGATTTAATTTCAGTTGTGTTTTCCTATTCTTATAATGTGTTTCTTTCAATCCCTTTCCTTTTTAGCAAAGGACCTACAAAGAGGAAAGTTGACAAGGCAGGAAACAGTGAAACTGCTCATACAAAGTGCTGACATGCTTAAATAAAAGCACTAATTTTTTTCAGTGTTCCCCATGTTGGTTGTATTACTTTCAAGTCAGTCATGTAGATCTCCTTTGTATGTTCTTGTAAATGCTCTTTCTCTTTTTCTTTTTAAAGAGGGAGTACATGCTGGCTGGTCCATGCTAGTCAGTTGTACAGTCATAACTAATACAACTGCTGTGCTTAGGGGAATTCCGTTTTTAACAGTTCTGAATTTATTCCTTGGTGGGTAAAGCACTGGCAGCTGTGGTGTGGGGGAGACAGGGATATGATGCTTTTCCCAATTGTGCCCCTGCCAGTTGAAGCTTTAAGGTCTCCAGATTAGCGTTCCTAACTGGGTACACTGAATCTTCCTGAAGTATAAGCTGCTAGGCCATTATTTCTATAAGTAATCCTAGAAGTGGGTTCTACAATATGATGATGCTTCCTGTAAAGATGCATATTCAGTCATGGTGATTTTAATTAGTACCCACTATATTATATGCTCTTAGAGGTGCCTGTCTTTTTTCTAACAGGACTGAGGTTGCTTTAACTCTAGAGTCCTGAGAAAGCATATGCGTGAGGTGGGCTGATGACAATTGTTTGTTTGTTTGTTTAATCATCTGTTGAAATAGTATTTGTGAGTAAGGTGAGGTGAAGCATTTAGAGGCTTTTCTTAACTATATGGTGATAAAATGTAAGAAAGAATATTGAAGCAAGTTTGTCTAGAAATTAAAGCAAACTTTATTGCCATGATGAAAGGGCCTGCAAAATGTCTAAGCACCAAATACCTTTCTTACTGTTTCCCACCCTTATTGTTGTTTGTTAGTTTCAGTTAACAGAGCAATGGAACCTCTTTCCATTTGGAGAGAAATAATGTAATATTGGCTTACTGTAGAATACTCAAATTACTTAGGCTCAGTGTTCATACTGTAGAAATGAACTGTGATTGCTGTCTTGTTGCATGGCATACTTGCGTTGTGCTGAACAATGTGTTCTGCAGATTCCCTTCTCTTCTGCTGTCATGTACGCACAATTTTAAGGCTCAGTCCTTGTAGGTTGCTTGGAGTCTTGCAAAGGGTCTCTTGGCTACTCTGCTCAAGGCTGTTTATGCTATAATGATGGCCGCACTGCTTTAGACAGTAAGGTTTTCCATACTCCCATCCTGTGGCTAACAGTCGCATGAAGAATAGGATATAAGAGCTATGTACATATACCTATAATTTACTGATTGCTTTCTTTTGAAGTTCCTTATGGCTCAAGAGTGTCTGTTTTGAGTACCTGGAGTAGTTGGTGTCATCAGCAAACTTTGCCATCCCGTAAGAGAAGTGAACCAGCTATCTCTCTCTCTCAGGTGATCCTTTTGGTTATTCTAAAAGATCTGCTTTAAGTCTGTGGTTTGCAGGTCCTTGGCCTTCAGCAACTTCACAATTTTCATATACGTTATTAGGAAAACTTCTGTAATGGTTGACAAGTCATGACACTGCTGTGCTCCCTAGTGGGGATCAGCTTTTCACTGTTAACATGGGATCACAGAATCATAGAATTGTAGGGGTTGGAAGGGACCTCAAGGGGTCATCGGGTCCAACCCTCCTATGCCAGAGCAGGTTCCCTAGAGCAGGTTGCCCAGGTAGGTGTCCAGAGGGGTCTTGAATATCTCCAGAGAAGTAGACTCCACAACCTACCCGGGCAGCCTGTGCCAGTGCTGTCATCCTTACCATGAAGAAGTTCTTTCGCATGTTGGGGCGGAACTTCCTGTGCTCTATTTTGTGGCCATTGTCCCTTGTCTTGTCCCCACAAACCACTGAAAAGAGTTTGGCCAAATCCCTGGATAAAACTTATACAGTGGAAATATGCTATGTAAGGTTATGTTATTTAGCTTGCTTCCTGAGTGGAAACTTCTGCTTTTACACAGTTCTACATGGAAAGTAAAATGCAATTGTGTCAGCTAATTTTCATACTTAACAGCTCCTAAAGCAGAAAATCTATCTTGAAGTATCTCACGTGCATTTTGTTAGTATTTTCAGTGGGGTGTATGACAAAAAGAAGCATTGATTTGGAAGTCTTTGTGCATTTTAACTTGCCATTTAAGTAGTACTGTCTGAATTGGGATTATCACTCTAAATAATGTTTATTGTTTGCATTCCTTTCAACTTCTTGCTTGAGCAGTTTTCTCTAAGCGTGAAGTTGTACCTTTAGCTGATAGTTGTTCTGACTAGTACAAAGCCTTGCTGACTCTGAAACAAAACTTGTTGTATTTATTTTTTAATCCAAGATAATACGAGTATTTGACAGGAAGTTGCCCACACAAGATAGTACTGTATCTGAGAGTTGAAACAGCTTGTTGATTTTACAGAAGTAACTTTTCCATAGCCTTCATCTTGCAAAATAGGACACTACTCCAGCAATCAAGCACGTGTATGCTGACCTTATAACACTTTGATGAAAATCCTTTGACAAGCACAATTATCAACTTCCCTTTTGCAATGAAATTTCCATGTCTGTAATGTGTAATGGAAATTGCTCTAGTGTACTCAAGTCAAATTATGTCTGAGTATTTCTACTCTACCCTGCAGTTACATGTGTGATAGACAAAAAATAACTGAAAAGAGAGAGGTCGTGGTGTGTTTTCTTTTTTTTTTTTTTTGCGTGTGTGTGTTGGTGGTGCCCTTCACCCCCATTAGGCTTCCGTATTCCCATCTTCATTCCATATCTTTTTAGGCTTCTTCAGATGGTAGGAGCTCTGGAAGAAAACAAACATCAGTGATAGACAAGCAAAGAGAAGGATAAGTCAGGAAGGAGTTGTCAGTGGTACTTTATTAATAGTAATTATAATAAGGGAATCGAAGTGAGTGAGACTAGTGCGTCTCAGCTGGTGCTGTGATTTAGCTCTACAAAATGGAAGTGCATGTCCAGGACTTGATAGCTGGGTATCCTTGCAACACCGTGTGAGGAGGAGGTCAAGCGCTTGTAGTGGAATATGGGCAGACAGCGTTGTGGAGGTAAATGTGAAACTGAAAGTATGATTCAGTTTGCACGGTACATGATGGGTGATCAGCAAGATGTTAGCCTGATGTTGAGCAGACAACATTGCAGTCAGAGATACCACAGGTTAAAAACCTTAAAATTTGTGTCTCTTCTGACTGTAAATCTGATAGTAACAACAAGATGGTAACAAAAAGCATCTTAGACTTTGTTTTTCATCTGCCAGTGAGATTGCCTTGCCTGCCCTTTTGTATTCTGCAACAGGCCAATATGAGTGGAATCATTTTGCTTTTATTAAAAATACTGTTGCAGCGTTCTTGCTGCATGTTACTGTGAAACAGTGTGACAGATGTCTAACTGTTCTCTGCCTGTACTTACTGGGCAGATGGAGCTCTGTCTTGGTTATGTGTTATCTGGTTATTCGAGTGACAGGAG